CACCTTAAAGATATCAGAAGGCAGTGCGTTTAAAATTTTTCATGAAAATTTCCATATGTATAAGTTACTTCCGAAGTGGATACCATACTTGCTTAAACCGAATCAAAAGCAACAAGTCACAAGTTTTTGAAAGCGAAGTTTCAAGTGGATGAATTACGCTTCGAATTGTTTCTTTACCTATTTACTCTAGATTTGGCACTAGAGAGAACATCAGATACTAAAAAATACTCCGGACAAAAAAATTTCTCTAAAAAAAAGTGATTGCCGAAACAGAAACCGATTTTGAGTAAAGACAAATCGTTCCGAATAAAGGCATCGAAAAGTTAGAGAACCTTTGGTGGTTGTATTACTATTGAAAGAAAATATCTTGACAAATAAAACTGTGAAGAAAAATAATTATGCATTACCATATCATCAAATAATTATCAGTGCCTGTGTTCGCCAACTAAAAATTAAAACGACAAGTCCGACATAGTACACTAAAAATTAAATTGACAAGTCTGACATAGGTGATGTGTTATACCATCATTCAGATCTTTTCTCTGTATTAAATACAATTTTTTACCTTGGCTAATGAATCCGGTTGCTTAATTTAAATATTCATAGGATTAATTTGTTTAAACTTAAGAAATATGTCTAATAGGTAATAAAAAATGTTCAAACATTATTGACACCTATACGTTCAGTTTAGGTCTAAGATGTAGATAGTATAAGGATGATACAGCAATTAGAAGTGGTAAAATAAACAATAGACATTTGCTCACAAAAATAGTCCATTGTCATGAATTATAAACTAACCTGTACCCGTATTATTATTTTTAAGACAAATATTTCAAATAATTTATTTCTTTAGACAATAGTTCGTTAATTTCACAAAATTTCATAAATAGTCTATAGGGAGACAGAATACCTCCTGCAGATAGCAACTACTTATATCACTTATAGGATACTGCTTATTGTATGTTTTAATTACAATGGTTGTAATAACATCTCTTTTATTTATTTGAATAAAATCCTGAGCAACCACATTGCACATACCATCAAACGTTACATTCTCAAAAGCCCCCTCAATATCGATGATCATACCAATAATAAAGTCTTTTCTGTCAAATATGCGGTCGATTCTGCTACCAGATTTTGGACAGCAGTTTCATGGAATATACCACATTGATAAACATACAAATTTTGGAAGAGATTTCTTTTGAATGCTATTTTCAACTATTCTATCTAAACCCTTTTGTATATACGTTGTTATAGTAATAGGACAGACATTTTTAGCAAGGGAGTAGTCATCTTTTCTTTTTTTGCTTAGTCATTGCACACTAAAATTTACACAGAAAAAAAGATTTTGTTTAAAAAAAAAGAAATTAGACAGATCAAAGAAAAACAAAAATAATATCAAGAGAATAGAATTTATTAAACGAAGATTTAAAAAGGATTTCGATTAAAAAAGGATTTAATAAAAAAAATAAACATGTGACACATGAGACGTCAGATGGCCTGAGATGATGATGGCATAGACTTTAAATTCTGGATATACTCAATGAAAACACATACTAAGATTTTTATAAAGTCAAAATATAGTCTTAAAAGAGTTCGATTTAAATTACTTAACTATACCCTTAACTATAAAAAAGAAAGCAATATATTTGGTATTAAATTTAAGGTGAATCAGAACAGGACGTACAACAAAAATATGCAGTATGTTCAATAAAAATTTACTTTTGTGTTTGTTGAACTAAATTATAATTAATAGGTATTATTAAAATAACAAGAATCATTTTAAAAATAACAAATATAAAATATACAACATATATAATTGTTACAGTAAATTTTTTATGGAGTTCACTGATATCTCAATAAAAGGCTATGAAGTATCAAACTATTCTTGCAAATCAGACATTAAATGCACTTCACGTAAAAAAAAATTTTCTTTATGACTTATATCCAATAATAACTATAATATTTATTTAAAAAAATTATGTTTTCGATTAATATACGACATAAGAATTATCACATTCATCACACACTTTATTAATTCTTTTGTTTTAATGATTATAAGTGTTCGCTATAAAAAAATTACTCATACGCAGCATACATAAAAAGTTTAAAATTTTTATTTTACATTATTCCAAAATTAATAGTTAGATTCGTTTCACACTATTCTGAATTTAACCGTCGCCTATGTGTTGCACACGATCCTCTGTTATATTCATAGTTTTCCATTTCACCACGTTTAGAGAATAGATTATGGTACAACAGGCTATATTGAGCAGTTTTTTCATAGCTTGAATTTCGTAATATAGAACTTTAAACTTACAAACTTTTACATTAAAAAACAAAAAGATTGTCACTGATGTGAAAAATGTATAAATTTGTTGTACCGCAAGATATTGTTTCTATTTATAGTCTGTCTCTACTCTATGGTATATCTAGAATTAAACTATATCAGTATGTGAAACAGAATAATAAAAATATTGCTTAGAGTAATGATACTATTCAAAATCAATGTCTAATTGTGCTTATTAAAAATTCATATATAAAGTAAGATAAAAAACTATAAATACAGTCTACATAAATTATATACAGACTATAAACTAATTAAAAAAATTCTAATATTTTTTAACTGATGATAAGTACTTGGCATTACTCAAAACGGCATTGTATGTTCAGCCAAATTTTAATAAATTAACTAAATTCTTGTTGTTGTCTTTTCATTTCTATTCGAACGCTTCCAACTTTTAAAAGCGGTACAGACTATCATTTTTGAGCGTCATTCAAGAGAGAAAATCTAAGAATGACACCAAAATTTTGGTGAGCACATCATTCAGCTTCTCGTCAACATGTTGTGAATGATAGTCTGTCACTATCACATGTAAAAACTTACATTCGTCATTCAAGAGCATATTTTTGCACACTTATATGTGCATAAACACCCTTATTCTTTAAAAATTTTGCTTGAACGACAACTCTTGAATGTAAGCATCTTCATGTTCGGTCGCTAGAATAAATTTGAGCAAGAGAGAGAGAGAGAGCGCAACTTGAATGACATTCAAAAATGATAGTCTGCACTACGTTTTAAATAGTTTCTTTTCATTATAAAGACGTCTTACTCTCGGCAAGAAAAAATTAACATTAAATATGAAATGACACACTTTCGTCCGGTAGCTAAATTGAAAAGTCACAACCAACGGCAGTAGTACGGGGCCGAATCGGTTTTTCCCCCGTCATCGAAGAATAGAATATAACTAAACGGGGTACTAGCTCCTTACGGAGCGGAGCACTGCGACCATAATTGATCTTTTGTGCTACAGTTCTTCTTCCCGTCATCGTAACGTCACTGGTGAATGTGAAGTGGCCTATAGGCTTTTTTAGCCAATTATAATTACTTTAACATTTTATTTTTGCGATAAGTGTGAAACGGATCTAACAAATAGAAACTGTTAAACTGATAGAGTCTGTGCTGGATGGATGGTGTGCATGCAATGAGTGATTGGTCAAAAAAATTCATAACTTACATCATAGCAAGCATTTCCCAAATCGGCAATTTTAACGCGGACATTCGTGTTGTTGATCAGCGTCTGTATGGCATTCGTATAGGAGTGGGTCTGCGGAATGGCATTAGCTTTAGTTGATTCTTTATCAGTACCAATACAATCAGTGGGCAACTGCAAAACGTAAAAAACACAAAGAAAAAGTGCAAAAACAAGATGTTCGTTGAAAAAGCGTGATATATACAATAATAAGCAACATATATCTGCAATAGAAGCGATCTTATGGACATACATTTATAAAAAAAAATGCATAAAATAAAAAATAAAAAAAGCGAACTGATACTAATATCTAAGGGAATTGTTTATAGTGCATATATAGGATGAAATTAACTAAATAAAAATTTAAATAATTATATTATACAATATATGTTATGTATTATTACACTCAGACTAATTGTATCTAATTTAATTTACATATTATAACAGCTTTTATTAAAATGTTGTAAATCAGCAACTAGAAAAAGAGTACTTCACAAAATGACGAAATTCTAACAAATCGAAATCGTTAGTAAGAACGCAGTACTTGTACAAGAATATATATTTATATGCAATTAACTATATATATATATATATGTATATATAACTATATATACTATCTTGTTAATAAATTTTATATATGTATTATTTAGGAACAACAAACTTGCATTTCCTTAAAGCACAGAAATTTACTTTCTAAAGCAACTGCACGAATTGCAGCTATGAAATATTTATTTATTTTTTTGGCATTTAAAATTATTTTTTGACGGAATTTTACCTTTTTGAGATTTTGTAAATTTTCTGCATTTTTTGTTTTGTTAACAGCTTCGTTGTTTTGTTTATCGTTTATGTTTTCGTTGTTATTGTCATTGTTGTTGTTTTTGTTTGTTACTAAATTTGTTTCGGTGCCGTTTGTTTCATCGGTGGTAGTGGCATTAGTTTCGTTAGCTTCATTGACATCGTCGTCAACCGACTGAAAATTTAAATTTAACAAAAACAAAAAAGGACAAAAAACTATTGCAGGCGTTTGTTTGATTTTTTTTTGTTTTTAAGTGCATTAATGAATAAAATTAAGTAAAAAGTGCACCTTTTCTTAGCTGGGTTTTTGTGAACAAAATAATTATTTGAAAATAAAATTATGAAATATAACACACAACAAAACACAACAATTATGTGTGAGGGGAGCATTCACTCGTTGGCTTTTCATTACGATTGTGTTTGTGCGTGTTCGTGTGGTATATGTGCATTTTTCCCTTAACTTTGCATTGAATGTGAGTGCGTATAGGAGAGTTCGAACTTATCGTTTCATGATTCAATTGTTCCTTATGGCAACTAAAGGGCACGTCAAAATTGTTTCTTTCGGGCTATGACGAAAAAGCATATTATACAGCGTATCACATCAGTTTGTCAATTTCATATTTTTACTATTACTTTTGTACTTTTTTTTGATTGTGCCTAAATTTTAAAGGAAATACATACATACATATAACACGGCTTCAACTGAGTGACTAGTGTAGCGTACATAATATAAACAAAAACATCCGTTACTCATTTTCTGTGTGGTCTACTGGAGAAAAGTATTATTCACTTATTCTAAACCAACACGCAGCAGCATTTATTGCTGATCTTGCAGTTATGAGTCCAAGCACTTTGAGCTGTGTGTGTATGCTGCTCTGCTCTTAGAGAACAGAAGCATTTGGGATGTAGCTTGAGCAACACCATTAAGAAATCGTATCAATAAAAAAAATATTAAAAGATAATCAATGCGTGTTTCAATAATATTACGGAATAATAAATATATATGACACTAGGCCAGATACCCTCGGGTCTCATGACCGAATTATTTTTTTTTTTCTTACTCTTAGTTTTTAATTTGCAGTAAAAGCAACAACAATTTTGATTTTGATGTGCCCGTGACACTCTACATCACGGTTGCCACTTGAAAATTTTTGTCTGTACAAAAATTGATTCAGAAAGGTACAATTTCTATAAAAAAGGTCCAATGTACGGAAGATATAGAAAAGTACAAGTCTTTCCATAACAATTTTATTATTTAAATAATCAGACTATTTTTTGCTGACCATACATAGTGCATATATTTTTTATCAAATAGTGTTTTGCATAACATTACATTATATACCTAAGGTTTTGAATTCTATTCCGATGTAAGTTTTCTTTTACTTTTTGTAGCTTTTTGTATTTTTGTAAAAATATTGAAGAAAAATGTATATTGAAAAATTAACATAATTTAAATAAGCATAAATTTTTTTATTAAGAAATAAACGATTTGTTAAGACTTTTAAAAAACGATTGTGGTTGCCGATCACTTCTCAAATCAAGAAAGTACTCATTAAGGGACAAATCAGGAGCACTTCAAACTACATTAGAACACATTCTTCTAATTTCAACTATTTTTGTTTAATCATGATTTTTAGTTATTTAAAAGTATTTTTTTTTTTAAAGTTTTTTAATGCTCTATGAAGTAATAGCGTTATTCTACTGATCAGAACGATCAATGACATCGTGTCTGTTTGATATCATTAAAAATCAGTTGGGACAGTTCCCATAAAACAGATTAAACCATTATATTACTTAGAAGTAATAAAATGATATTTTAATACTGCAAAATCAATTTTTTTTAAAGGATTAAATTTCTATGTCAGAACTAACACCTATTATTTAACTTCAAAATTTATTTTCAATGAATTCAAAACTCAGATGATAGTTATCATAAAACGTAAATACCAACTCTCGAATACGTGAAATTGTGTTTTACATTAATTTAAAATGTTTATATTGTGTATTATTTTTTTATTAATAATAATTAATTTTTTGCATTCATACCTTGGCAGTGATTTTCTTTTCGGCGGCACGATAACGATTATTTATATTTCCTGAAGATGAGTTACCAACAATTATATCCGCACCGCTTCCACCACCACCATCGCTATCGCCAACAAGGCTAGAATATTTGGACGCCAACGAAGATGGTGTATTTGTGTTTAAAATTGATGTAGTCTCATCAGAAGAGGTCATAGCAGTATTCGGAACCACGAGTGGTGGTAATGGTGTTGAGGACGTAGAATTATTTGCCGTATTTGTGCTGGTACTTGAAGTGTTCGTATCGATAAGTGGCCATTTAGCACGAGATTTCGTTTGTTTTTCGATGGAGCTGACTAAATATATTAAAAATAAAATTAATCATCTTTTATATGATATATGATATGAAGTCAAATATAATTTTGAAGACTTGTATTATTTTTTTTTACTTCTGCAAATTATTTGGCATTAATGTATTATTCAATTTTATTGTATACTTAAATTAAGTCAAAAAAAACTAAAAGAAATAATTCAAATTACATAAAGATGAAGTTTCCTTAAATTATACTTACTATATGAGTCAGGAAAATCGGCACCTTTAACACGTAAACTGTTAATTTCATCATCAATTTGTTGATTCATTGCGGCTGCATTATCTATAACTAGTAATATATTCTCTGGTTTTATGTCAGTATGTATAATGCTACATTTGGTATGCAAGTAATCCAAACCTTCCAAGACTTGTTTGATAATATTACGTACTTGTGGTATAGACAAACCAAAATAATTATTTTTAACTATTAGTTTATAAAGACTGCAACCCAAGGCTTCAAACACTAAACACGTATGAATACCATTTACACCACGCACAGTGAAATGATTTAGTAAAGAAACGATACGTTCTCGTTTTCCATCCAATGGATCTGCATCACGTATAGCTTCTAATAGTCGTATTTCATCAGCTGCGGTTTCGATGTAATGTGGTGCACTTTTAACAACTTTTAAGGCCACGTATTTCTCATCTCTATGCAAATTAAAATTACAAAGAATTAATGTTTTATTATAGAAATATTATATAGAACTTACTTCAAGTCCCTACAAAGCCACACAGTTGAAAAATGACCCCAACCCAATTTCCGCACAACACGAAAGCGATTGTCAAATATGTCCCCAATAACAACCGGATGATAGCCGCCACGACAATATTGGGAAGGATCTTCCTGTTCCTCGTCTGAGCCGTAAAGGCTGCTATCCGGAGAATTGGGAAAAATTTCATCTGTTGTGCTAAGAGTACCACGTGGTTCAGAACTGAAAAAAAATAATACATTAGTTTTCAAACATAAATTATTTTATTTTATTTAATTTATTATAATAATAATTATTTTATTTAAAAGAAAATATTTATTTCTAAATTTATTAAATATATGATTAAGTTTTTAGTTTATATGGATGAACCATTCAGACAATGTGCTTAAGTATATATTCGGAATATCAGAACTTTTTAAACATAGCACTTGTTTATATCATAAAAACAGTTGTTAAAACTTTGAGCAATTTAAAACAACATGGGAAGAGTCGACGATGTGTAGACATCTGTAAGCAAGTTAGTCCCTTTTAGTCTATCAGTCTCATTGAAATTACTACTAGATATATCAATTTTATAGTGTGTTCACAACTTACTGTCAATTAGATAATCATTCTAAAAAGTATATTTTTTCATATTTGTCACAGCTCTGAAGAATACATACAAAATGATTCACACCATCCAGCGCATACGCAAAATAGATTAAGCTTACTAGATAATTATTTCCCAGAGGATCAAGGTCAGCTACATGACGTATTTTTGAAGAGAATAAGATTCTCTTTTAAAGAGAACCCTAAACTATATTAAAGCGGTCATGTTGCCTCAAGTCCTTCGACTTTTATATGGTAACACAGTTGTCTAATAGGACAAGTGAATCCTATTGATGTTTTCTTTACTTTGATATATCATAATAAATAAAGAAAAAATTTGAGTCTACCCCTCTGTGTTTAATCAGTTGACTGATTAATATTTGTTGAGCACAATGGACGAAAAATAATTTTATTTATATTTGCATACTCTGCTGGTATCGCTTTATTCGAATTGAGTTTTAAATGATTTCGACAAAGTTTATATTTAATACTCGTAGAGTTTAAACAAAATAAAAGTGATGTGAATAACTGGTTGTAGACCATAATTTTCGGAACTGAATATACAATATAATATGAATATACAATATACAATTATAATTATATGTAGTCCTTTCGATATTTTATACGATTTATCACGATTGATAGTCATAATGTGTGATTTAAAAACAGTTTTAATGTAAGTGATATAAATAGAAGGTATAGTTTATACTGTAAACAAAAGGTCTATGTTTTTTTCAGTCCGGTTATAATGAAAGTAATATAAATGGAAGATGTACTTTATACTGTAATCAAAAAATTTATGTTACTACCTTCTACTAGTAATAGGTTATTTCAACCAAATTAAAAAATCTATAATGATGTCTGGATTTCGTGTTGTAAGTTTCCTGTACTTATGTCTATTATCTGTAAGTGCTTTGCATTATAAACCATATTAAAAATTCAAATAAATAAAATATTTATGTAATAAATACAAATTTACATAAATATAAATATTCATTAGTCTGAATTGGAATATATCACAACTGAACTTATTACTTAATTTGAAATCTATATGGAAAGATTAAAAAGAAACTTTTAGTAGTTCAACTTAGCAGAGTTGAACTACTAACTACTAGCAGGTTTTGTTATAGTAGGAAATGTTACACTGCAAATTATGCTATTCAATTTTTTTTATTCTAATCACAATCAAAACAACAATCATTATTAAAGCTTCAAAAATTTGATGGAAACTGAAATCTAATAATAATTGTTAGGCTTTCTAAGTAGTAGTGAGTGTTCAAATCTAGTTAAAATACTAACAAAAGTAATATTTAAGATGTTAAAAAATATTTTTATAAAAGATGTATATATAACAATTTATAATAGTTATAACAAATTGGATAAAAATTATTAAGAAATTTTCAATTTAGTTATAATTTCAATTTTTAAAATTTAGTCCATTTATTTTTTTACCAATCAATAATTTTTTACCCAACTACAATAATTTTAAACAATATAACTAAGTATATATACACACACACACATGTACGATATATCCAATGTCTCCGTATCTTCTAAATCAGCTTCAATTGGAGAAATATTTCTATCAAACGATAACGGTTCTACACGCAATGGTAAAAATAACTCATTCGGTACTAGTACAGGACCATTTAATGGAAGTCCATCATAGTCGACGAAATGTACATCCTGTACTTTAGATTTAGGTTTTTTCTTAAGACGTGGTAAAGTTATAAGAACAGGATCTGCTGATACGCACTTTCTCTTTTTGGTAATCCGCTTTCGACGTTTCTTTTCCTCCACTTCAAGTAGTGCTTCATTGGCTGCATCTGCTGTTACAATACTAGCTCTTTTAATTGTTAGTTCAAAATCACAGATTAGTTCATTAATAATTTGTGCGTTATCGATATTAAGAACATCAACGAGTTCTCCTACTTCTGCCCAGTGCAAAATAAATAGGAAGAGTAAGAGTAATGAAAATTTGAATACACAAACAAATATTTGATCCTGAGATAATATATTAATATATTCCGCAATAAGATTACTATATTTGATGAAAAAAACACTAGACAGTTCGTAGGCACTGAGACATTGTTGCAGTGTAAACATAAATATAGGCCAGAACTTATCCATAAACAGCATATATTGTATCTGAAGTTGTTGGAGATACTTCCATGTAGGTGCTTCATGCTTATAACAGGTCAGGTGATGTGTGGAATAATAAGGAAGATAATACTCTAGACCCAAATTATCACAGCTTCCACTTAAGGTAAATGGCAAACTGAAGTTTTGAAACCATTTGATGATATTCATTTTGAATTTATTTTTTTTTTTTCAATTTTTTTTTGATCGCTTTATAAACTTCGTTCTTGTTGCATTGTTTAGCTTTAGCTTTTGTTTTATTTTTTTTTTGATTTTTTTTTTGTTTTTTTTTGTTTCTATTTATTTATTTTTTGATATTGCGTTGTTATTGCCTGTCAACGATTATGACGCCTTTTCACATTCGACTTCGTGGAATCGTGTACCGCACCGCCCTTGATTTTCCAAATTGTGTTTTGATTTTTATGAGTTTTGCTTACTTTCACATGCGACACTTCCCCATTACGCGCTTTCAACGCCAGCGATGAACTCACGTTAGAAAATTACACTTTTATTCGATGGAATTTATTAATTTTTTTATTTGTACGAGTTTCGTGCGAAAATATTCTTACATAACGCCGTCGTCGTATTGTGTCCGTAAAAGTCAAACACTAGACTATGTGTGAACGATGGATGAATTATGAAATATGCATTGCAAAACAAAATATTTTTAATTATTAATAAAATTGACCGCGAAAACATGAGCATCGCGTGAAACGCAAATTGACGACTGTTTTTAGGCGAATCAGCAAGCTAAACTGAATCAAATCAAACCGAAATGAAAAAATTGTCAACTGTTTTCATTGCTCTCTCATGCCACCACTTTGTGTACTCGCACTATTCCGAGTACACCTCACACTCCCTACACTCTTTTACTGGTATTTACTAGTACCGTCATTGGACTTGCATTTGCCTCGTTCGTTTGCCAAAATTCAATCGAAATGCTTATGAGAATCTATTTGTTCATGTGTGTGCCTTGGACGGTGCGCACATATTTCTATTCTCCAATTTATTTATAAATAATTCTGCTTACATACATATATACATATTTATATATACCTATATATATTATAAATAAATTAAACGTTAGAGAAAGTCAAAGAAGTATTTCACTATGGCAGATGATTTTAATAAAAATACAAAAATAAAACGTCATCATTTTCGTAAAAACATAAGGTCTGTTTTCCTACAGCTACAATTTTCATCGGTGTGTTCACTGTACTATGCCCCAAGACTTCTCATTATTACCAAAGTATGTTACAACAAATGAACTACTACAAACTTTTGTTAAAGCACACATATACATTATCAATTTAAATTGTATAACTATTATATCTTCTATTATCTATTTAAAGCCACTCCTATCCGATAGCTTCAAATACGTTTTTCGCTGAATTCTACCATTTTTTTATTATTTTATATCAATAACAAATACAAAATAGATTATTTTTTTTATTGTACAACAATAAAAATCTGTTATTAGAACAAATTCTATGAAATAAAACAGGGGTCCAATATTACTAACAAAAGAATTAATTAGCTATGACCGAATGAATCACAATCACAAAAAAAAAAACAGTAGATATAAATGAAGTAATAATCTTTAACAGTTGGGCAGTGTTAAAGAGTCGGTATGTTAAACTTTGAGATCAATAAGATCAGATCAAGATCAATAATAGCATTTATCCCATACGTTCATTATTTGGTTGAAACACAGATCACTGATAGGTATCTCAGTCACATCAATTATAACTCAAAATTGCAGTGCTTCTCTCAATAACCTAGCTAGGCTTATTAGGATTAAACTCATTTGGGTTCCTGGTCACAGCGATATCTCGGATAATTGTAGGCCAGACAATCTCACCAAGGCAGCCGCCCGTCTCCCTAACATTTACTTCTCCGATATAAGCGTTCTACTTGCTACAGTTAAACTGGCAATTAAACAGAAGTATCTGAGCATAGCCGAGCAATAATCTTATTGTCAGATTTCAAGATTGACTTGGTCTAATATAGACAAGAAACGAACTAATCAGCTACTTCAAGTAAAGCGGAACCTGCTCAGTATTACGGTATCTGCGCTGATGGGATACTGCGAAATAGGAAAGCATGCTATGAGACTGTGTCTGAGGAGGAAACCGTGGTTGAAACAAATTGGCAGCACTTTTAAAATATGTTAAATGCTTTATTTTGACACTAGCTTTTTGCTGTGTTGTGTACAATATGAAATATTTGTATACTAAAAATTAATTAATTTAAATAAAAGAAAACAAAATTAATATTAGAAGGGCAATGGTTAGAATTTTAATCTAATATATTTAAATTAAATGCTCATATGAATTTAACGAATGATTTGAATTTCGCAACATATTTCTAGTGAACATTCACAATAGACTAATTTTGGAATTTGGCTGCATTAAAACTTAAGACTTAAAATTTTTTGCGAGTAAAATCTAACTCTGAAGATTTTAAGAGCATTGTTGTTGCTTTACATATTTTAT